TGACACCGGTCTCCTGGAATCAACCGACACCTTGCCCCTCCGAAAACCTTTTAAGGCTTGCCTGACGAGGAAATGTTTGGTGACATCCTCCCAACCAGAAAACTTGAACGGAAAGACTATAGCTGCTAACTTACGCCCGACTACCACTGCTGAGGCCCCTGAGGCGAACAACCTACAAAGGAACTACAATACCGAGTCCAGCCGAGCCTTCCGTGAGAGCTGACCCCCCGTATGCAGCACCAGCTTGTCCCACTCCCCCCCACACCTTACTGTATGCCGTCCAGGTAGCGAGTGCCAGAGAGTTCCTGCTCAGTCCGCCAAGCAAGAGGTCCCGAGCTGCCACATCTCGTCTGGGCATGACATCCTCTCTGCCTGCACAACAGGCGCCACCTGCCGAAACCTCTCCCACTGTGAACGAGACAACACGTCAGCTATAACATTCAACAACCCGGGCACGTAGCGTGCCCGGAAAACATTAAACTGCATACAGAACAAGACAAAATGGTGAAGAAGACGCACTACCGGGATAGAGGACGCTGAAAGCCCATTTACTGTTTCTACCACCGCCATATTGTCCGAAAAGAATATAACCTTCCTATCCCGCAACTGAGGACCCCATAATGACAGTGCTACAACTAATGGGATCAACTCCAAAAATGCCAAGTTGCGGATCAGCGGGCTGGCCTTCCATGCCGTCGGCCAAGTTCCTGCGCACCAGCGGCCCGCGAAATAAGCCCAAAACCGATACTCCCCGAAGCGTCCGTAAAGAACTCCAAGTCCGGGGAAGACTCTGCCGGTTCCCGAAAAAACACCTTCCCATTAAAATCCCCTAAAAAGGTCACCCAGACGTCCAAATCGGTCTTCATAGCCGCCGAGACCTGAATAAAATGGTGTGGGAACACCACCCCCCCGTTGCCCTAGCCAAGAACCTGTTAAAGACCCTACCAACTAGAATCACCCGACAGGCGAAGTTTAGCCGACCCAGCAATGATTGAATCATCTAGAGCGTGACTTTCTTAGCTCCCCGCACCTCAGCCACTGCCTTCTGAAGCACCAGCAACTTATCCTGCGGCAGCCTACACTCCCCTCTATCACCAAGCCCAAAAAACTGTAGGTCCCACCGTTTTGTCTCCGGCCAAGGGAACTCCAAAGACATGTGCCACCCACTCCAGTGTCCTCAGTCCAATGCGGCATTCCTCCAAACCGGGAGGCCCGATGCATAGGAAATCACCCAGGTAATGAACCACAAGCTTAGGGTCCGCCTCCATCTTCAACACCCATTCCAGAAACGTGCTAAACTTTTCAAAGTACGCACACGAAAGAGCACCCCATGGGCAAGCATAAGTCTACAAAATACTCGCCGTCGAAGTGACACCCCAATAAGTGATGACACTTGGGTGAATTGGACCAGGCGAAAAGCCGCCTCCACATCTGCCTTCGCCAATAATGCCCCAAGACCCGCCCGCTGCACCAAATTCACCGCTTGGTCGAATGAGGCGTACGACATTGAGCACAGAGCTTTGTCAATGTCGTTAACCGACGACCCTTTGGAGTAAGAAAGGTGATGTATCAGGCGGTACTTCCCCAACTCCTTCTTGGGAACCACCCCCAGCAGGGAAACCCTCAAGTTAGTTAGTTAGAGGGGGCTCCTTGAACAGCCCAGCCATCCTGCCCAACTGAACTTCCTTATACAACTTCTCCCTAACCACCCCCGGAAACTCCTACAGATTTTAGATTGCGAAGTCGATGAACCGTTACCCCCTCCCAAAACCGGATCACAAACCCTTTCGAAAAAAGCCCTCCTCGAGCATAATCCTCCCTGTTACCGTAGTGGCTTAGCCAAGGTAGCATCGCACCAGCGTTGCCCCCAGTTGCAGTGGATGAGGTCGAACCCCTGGGCACCCCTCCCATGGTGGCTGCCTTACCTTTTTTTCAGATTCCTGATGAGTTAGGATTATAAGGGTATATTATTTTAAATGATGCCAAATTAATTAGTGGAAGATAAGGTATACTTGGGCATAATTTGTCCACTAGACTGCATTCGGTGGTGTCTGAATCTAGATTCGTCTGAATTTTCAGATAAGTGACTTGTTACATAGTTACATAGCTGAAAAGAGACTTGCGTCCATCAAGTTCAGCCTTCCTCACATTTGTTTTTTGCTGTTGATCCAAAAGAAGGCCAAAAACACAGTTTGAAGCACAATTTTGCAACAAGCTAGGAAAAAAATTCCTTCTTGACCCCAGAATGGCAGTCAGATTTATCTTTGGATCAAGCCGTTATTACCCTACATTGAAATATTATATCCTTGAATATTCTGTTTTTGCAAGTATGCATCTAGTAGCTGTTTGAACATCTGTGTGGACTCTGATAAAACCACTTCTTCAGGCAGTGAACACATGACCTTGTGTCCTATGTAAAGTCCGGTTTGTGAATAGATTTCCACACAATTGTTTATATATTGGCCCCGAATATATTTGTATAATGTTATCTTATCCCCTCTCAGGCGACGTTTTTCTAAACTCTAACCAACGTTGAGTGATAGATAGCCTGGTCCATTAATCCTAATGTAAGATTGGTTATTTTACTGCTGTGCCTAACCTCATACTGCCAATGCCACTTGGAGTGGGAAATAGCTTGTGTCATTAATCCTAGTATGAGCCACTGCCAGTGCCACTTGCACCAACTTTGATTTGCTGAATTAGATAGAATTATTTTACTGGTTGCAGTTTTTTTTTTTTTTCTTGTGAAAGATTATTTGGTTTGCCGTGTGCTACAGTGCCACTGCTTGTTCTTTGCTAATTGCAGCACTGTCTGTGGCAGTTTAGTACACAAGTAAATACTTTAATCAGTGTGGAAGTTCTTTTATTAACTCTTTAAATTCTTTTTTTTCTAAGTGTGTTCAGTTATGTGTGCTGCAGCAATAGTGTTACAGGCAGGGTACAGCATCATTGAAAAATCAGTTTCAAAAGCTTTTTTAAAACTGTGTCTTGTACAAGTGTGCAAGCAGTGCACTGTGTACAGTATAGTGTTTAGAACTACCGCCAGTGTGCCAAGACCTCACACTAAGGGTCGCATAGGGTGGTCCATATGTCTTCAGAGCTCGGTCATGTACTACGTTCCATTAACAGCACAACCAGGCCCCTTTAATAGTGGCAGCCTGGGAGGAAGTGAAAACCGGCCATATTCTCCCAGAGAACACAGAATCAAACGGAAGGGAGAGAATAGAGAGGAGGGGACTGCGGACTGCAAGAGCCACTGACACCCAACAGCCTCTGCCAGCAGACTGGACCATAGGAATGTCCCCATCCTACACCCAAATGTAGGAAACATTACATTTTGCATGTATTAGTATGTGTGTCTGTGTGACTGTATGTGTATCTGTATGTGTGTCTGTGTACCTGTGTGTCGTACATATCTGTGTATCTGCATATGTGTATGTGTATCTGTGTAATGTCTGTGCATGTGTATCTATGTATCTGCATAAGTTTGTATGTGTATTGTCTGTGCATATATATGCGTGTCAGCATGTGTATATTTATGTCTGTATGTGTATATGTATCTGTGTATCTATCTCTGTGCCTGTATACATACAAGTGTGCTTGTGTATCTGCATGTTTGTCTGTATTTGTAAATGTATGTCTGTATCTGTGTGTCTGAATGTGTGTGTGTGTGTGTATCTACTGATGTGTCTGTATGGGTTTCTCTGTGTTTGTATATCTGCATGTGTGTCAATGTGTGCCCCTTTGTATCTGCATGTTTTTCAGTGTTTGTATCTGTACGAGTGTCATTGTGTGTGTGTGTGTGTGTGTGTGTGTGTATCTGTTAGTCTGTATGTGTGGTACTGTGTGTATTTGTGTGGCTTTGTATCTGCATGTGTGTCAATGTGTGCGTCAGTATGTGTGTGTCAGGGTGGCGGTCCGGTGCCCGAAACCCAGACACTGTCCGGGCGGCGGAGCGAGGACCAGGACCCAGTATGCCTGATGTTAAGTGGGAGTCTTCAGCGTGAGAGTGGATAGGTCAGGGTCTGGTGCAGGGTAACCGCACGCCCCCTGGTGTTGTGCACCAACGTTTGTGCGGCCACAAACCAGAACCCTGATGCAGCTTATGCGGATCCCAGGAACTAGGAGCTTGGAATTAATCAGACCTCCCAGGAGCTGAATAGGGAGGCTCTGCAGCAGGAGTGTATCCAGTACAGAAACAAGGCAAGACTAGAACAGTCACCAAACAAGAAAACAAGACAGAACTAGTAGAACCCAGAACCAGAGAAGGATAGAAAGTTAAACCCAGAACATGTACACAAGACACGAGGGAAACATGGACATAACATGGGCATGACTGGACAGGACTGTACCAGGGCCGTCTATAATATGATTAGGACCCTGGGCAATGCATTTTCTTGGGCCCCATGGGCCCTGTCCCTGCCACTGCCTCACCCCCCAATTACGTCCAACCCGCAATCACACTGACAGACGTACTGGCACATACACACACAGACAGACGTTAAAACATTCACAGATACATACTGACACACACAGTCACTACACACAAATATATACTGTGTGTACTGTGTGTATATACTGGCAGACATACTGACACACACACAGACATACATACATACATACACACAGACAGACACACTGACAGACACACACACACACACACACAGACAGATATACTAATACATACACACACACACACAGACATACACTGACATACACACACAGACATGACACATACACTGACAGACATACACACACACACAGACATGTACTGACACACAAAGACACATACACACACATACAGACAGACATACTGACTGACACACACATTAAAACATTCACAGATACATACTGACACACACATACACTGACACACAAATATATCCTGGCAGACATACTGACACACACGTACACACACACAGAGACATACCTACATACACACACACATACAGACATACTGGAATACACACAGACATACTGACACACACAGACATACTGACATACACACAGACATACTGACATACACACAGACAGACGTACTGGCACATACACACAGACATACATTAAAACATTCACAGATACATACTGACACACATACACTGACACACAAATATATCCTGGCAGACATACTGACACACACGTACACACACACACAGAGACATACCTACATACACACACACACACACACACACAGACATACTGACACACACACACACAGACATACTGACACACACACACAGAGACATACTGACACACACACACACACACACACACACACAGACGTACTGACATACATTTAGCCACCCTCCAGGTTCTTACCTTTTCCTGGAGGGTGGTTTCCCTGGTCCAGTGGCAGGCTGAGGCAGATGGGAGTTCTCCTCTGGAACTCCCCTCCTCCCTGCCTTCCTCCTCCCGCGCGGCTATCTCCGGTGGGAGGAAGTGACGTCACAGTGACATCACTTCCTCCCAGCCGGTTGCAGAACCGGAAGAGGGGCCCGGTCGCGCTGTTTAAGTGCCACAGCGCCCGACCGGGCCCCTGCTGACACATGCTCCCCGGGTGGCCCTTAGTGCATGGGCCACCCGGGGAGCCTCCCGGTCCATAGGGGCTGCGCAAATCGCGGGGCCCACAGAGCAGCTGCTCTGGGCCCCCAGGAGCAACTGCCCCGTTTGCCCCGCGTTAAAGACGGCCCTGGACTGTACATTGACTGGTTATACAAACTAAAACAAGATAAGATAGGCAAAACAAGAGGAGAAATAACTAAGTACTATATATGACAATCATGGGGATTTAGTCACATTATATGATCATACATTGCATAAGCCTGCCAACAAGGCCAATGTACCCCATATCTGGCAGGTCCTACTCTGCCTAATGTATGCTAAAACAACCAAAGAAGACATATATAGCACTTACCTGCAAGAAAGGGCAGAAGCCCTGAGCAGCTGCCTGCAGGAACTCAAACAAAAGGAATGATGGAAAACAAACAGATGTGGCAACTAAAAAAAAATTTAAAGGAAACCTGGAGACTGGGAATTCCAGGGACGGAATACAGAAATGAACCCAGAAAAACCCAGCATAAAGAAAACCAGACATAGAATAGAAAACCAAAAAACCAAGAAAAGCAAAACAAGAATTGTAAAAAAAGTACTGGATACCAGAAGCCATAGCCAGAATGATCTGCAGCTAGGAACAAGATGTGACATAACTCCCCTCCTAAGGAGCGACCTCCGGACGCTCCCAACAGCTCCCAGACAGAGACCAGGAATGGCGAGCGGATCCTGCAACGAAGTCCTCTTGACTTTCACGGAGGCAAGGATCCCCCGCCGTAGAGGCCTCCTGCATAGGAACCACCAGCAACGAATGGAGATCACCGCCAGAACAGGAGCACTGCCACAAAACCGGAACCAGCATCACAAGGAAACACCTGAAGCGACCACCATACCGCTTAGCAGATCAACCCCCTCCAAGACAAAATTAAGGAAGCCATCTCCAGCAGACTGGTCCAGATACAGGATCCCTTGCATGCATAATTCTCAGACAGGACATGACACAGACAGAGCAGAACAGGAAAGCTGCAAAGTCCACTCCATGAACTCCAAGGGCCTACGGCCATACTGTCAGGGTGGCGGTCCAGTGCCCGGGACCCAGACACTGTCCGGGTGGCGGTGCGAGGACCGGGACCCAGTATGCCTGATGTTCAGAGTAGGAGTCACAGTGTGGAGGCAGATTAGCAGGGTCTGGTGCTGGGTAACCGCACGCCCCTTGGTGTTGAGCACCAGCATTTGTGCAGCCACAAACCAAAACCCTGATTCAGCTTATGCGGATCCCAGGAACTTGGAATTAAGCAGACCTCCCAGGAGCTGAATAGGGAGGCTGTGCAGCAGGAGTGTATCCAGTACAGAAACAAGGCAAGACTAGAACAAGCACCTAACAAGAAAACAAGACAAAAAACTAGTAGAACCCAGAACCAGAGAAGGATAGAAAGCAGAACCCAGAACATGTACACAACACATGAGGAAAACAAGAACATAACATGGGCATGACTGGACAGGACTGTACATGGACTGGGATTACAAAATAAAATAAAACAAGACAAGAGATACAAGGTAAAACAAGAGGAGACATAACTAAGCACTATATATGAAAAGTATGGGGATTTAGTTACATTATATGATCATACATTGCATAAGCCTGCCACAACGTCAATGTCCTACACTGCCTAATGTTTGCTAAAAGAACCATACTATACCACAATAGCACTTACCTGCAAGAAAGGGCAGAGACTTGAAACACTGCTGCAGGTCCAGACTGAAACAAAAGGAAAATGGAAAACAAACAGGTGTGGCAACATAAAACAAACATTTAAAGGAAATCTGGAGACTGGGAATCCCAGGGATGGATTACAGGAATGAACCCAGAAATCCCAGCAATAAAGAAATCCAGACATGGACTAGAAAACCAGAAAAACCAAGAAAAACTAAACAAGAATTGTAAAAAGAGTACTGGATACCAGAAGCCAAGGCCAGACATCTCCGCAGAACAGAGCAGGATGTGACAGTGTGTCAGTGTGTATCTGCATGTATGTGCACCTGTGTGTCAATGTATCTGTCTGTGCGTGTCTGTGTATCTGAGTGTATGTACCTGTGTATGTTTGTATCTGCATGTTTATCTGTGTGTGTATCGATTTATTTCAGAATGTATGATATTTTATTTTTACATGCACATTGCAATTTAGTGGTTTATTTTGTAAACCTAATGTGTGCTACTGTAATTTAAAAAAATAAAATCATTGAATTGTTCTCTGCTATTTCTCCTGAGTCGTAGTGACCCCTTTTGCATACCTTTGTACAGTTTTGTGAAAATACATGGCTGAATTTATAACCTGGTCAGCGCAGTTAATTTTTTTTAATGGTAAATTGAGGATGGGTCTATGGTGCATTTTAGTAGCTCATATATTTAAATCATAAATGATTGACATTTACAAATGTGGACACCATGGGGACTCTCACATTATATATTTTAAGCTTCAATGAGGTGCCATTTTTTTACAATTTTTTTCAATGTTTGTGGAATTAATTTTATTTATTTGAATTTTACATCCCTGTATTTTGCTGCCTTTTTAAAATCTCATGTGTGCCACTGTAACAAAATTACCCTTACTGTACCCAGCAACATCTCCTGAGCACAATATATATATATATTGCACTCAGGAGATGTTGCTGGGTACAGTTAGGGTAATTTTATATATATATATATATATATATATATATATATATATATATATATATATATATATATATATATAAAGACCTTACACTCCTACTCACGGTTGGTTTAACCTGGTGCTCGATTGCACTAAATATGTAGAACGAAAAAAATCAGCACTCCAAAGTATTTTCACATAAACTTCTTTACTAAAAAGAGTGTCAAAGAATCAACGATTCACTCCGAATAGGAACTTTCATCAGGACAAACAGTGTTATTATTTAAAAAAAAAAATGTATTTTTTTTTTAATATTATTATTATTTTTTTATTATTTAATATTTATTTTTGTCCCCCCTCCCTGCTTGTTACTTGGTCAGGGAGGGGGGCTATCGTAATCCCTGGTGGTCCAGTGGCATGGGCTGTGCAGAGGGGAAACCGGCAGCAAGCTGTTACATACCTTTGTAGCAGCTCCGGTGAGCTCCCTTCACCTCTGTGCAGCTCCCCTGTCAGGTCCCAGTGTAAGTCTCGCAGTCTGCGTGCCGTGCGGAGCGATGCCATGGTAACCCGTGGCAACGCTCTGACTGTCGCGGGTGTCGCAAAATTTACACTGGGAGCTGACAGGAGAGCTGCACGCAGGTGAAGGGAGCTGTCCGGAGCTGCCACAAAGGTACGTAACAGCTTGCTGCCAGCTCCCAACAGGACAGCCGGGCTTGACTCGAGTATAAGTTGAGTGGGGCTTTTTCAGCACAAAAAATTTGCTGAAAAACTCAACTTATACTCGAGTATATACGGTAATCCTAAACATAAACAGAGTCATGTTTGTGGAGTTTTCTGATTTCCCTTTCTTTATTATATGATTACTTGGTTTAAATAGTTATATGTATTAACTTGCATATAGGGCTTGCAATTTTCTTTTGTGTTTATTCACTATGGGTAGCACTTTATTTATTTAAACTAGTAGTATAACTAGTAGTTGAGACTATTGGTATGTAGGCACACTGATCCTGATAAGCCGAGGTAAAGTTGGGCCAGTTTGATGTAGCAGATATCCTAGCAGTAGCTTATCCTTTATGGCTTATATCTTCTGGTAGGCAGTGGTGTATTTTGGATTTGTGCTGCCTTAAATTCGGGCACCCCCAAAATCTAAATTTGCCCCCCCAATTCATGTCAAGGCCACTTTTTTGACTGACAGACGCAGGCCCTCATTGATACATGCACTGATATACACTCGCTGACAGATACAGTCATTAGCACACACATACAGTCATTGACACACACTGTTTAACCAACACACACTTTCACTGACAGACACACTCTCAGATACACATAAAATGACATACACACACTGACTCACACTCACAGGTACACACATTCTCACTGAAAGACACACACACTTTCACTCACTCACAGACACACACTGACAGCTACACTCACTCACTCACAGCCATACACACCCACACTCACTGACAGACACACACTCACCGACAGACACACACACACACTGACAGACACAAACACACTCACTGACAGACACACACATACACACATATATTTTCTCATGCACTCACCAATTATTAATATTTTTTTTAAATTTAAATCCACCCAGTCTCTCTACCTTTGGGAGAGCTGGAATGGATCTTTTGCCTGACCGCTGCTAGGCGGGCTCCTTGCTGGGCTGGCTGGCTCTGCTGTGGCTGCTGGCGCTTAATGGAGGTGGTGAGGGGAACCAAGCTCTTCTTGCTCAGCAACCGCCGGGGTGACATCATATTCTGTTTACAGAAGGGAGTGTGAGAGAGCAAGAAGAGCAGAGGACATCGCTCCCTTGCCGTCCGGCTAGAATATTAGTAGTTTAACACCTCGGGAGGGGGGAGGACGGGGAAAGGGGGTAGCCTAAGGTGGACAGCCCCAGAATACGAGACAAACAAGGCATTTGTCTGGGAGCTTGGGGTGGCGTTTTTTGGCACTCCCGCTGAAAGTGCCGCCCTATGCAAATGCCTTATTTGCCTTGTGGTAAATACAGCCCTGCTGGTAGGCACAGTTTTTGGTGTGCCAAGCTATTGTTAGGCTGCTTTTTGAGCCTCTGTGGAAGTGGATTTTGTCTCTCTGGTAGGCACACAGATTTTATTGGTGTCCTGAGGTATAGGCAGACTTTCCTTTTGGCATACAGGAGTATTATCTCTAGTATCTGGTTAATCCTCCCCCTCTCTCCTTTTTCTTCTGGGTAATTCGGTAAGCACACTGGCTTCAGGTGTGCTGAGGTATTCTCAGGATATTTCTGTAATGGTAGGCACACCGATTTTTAGGTGTGCTTAGGTATAGGTAGAATATTAGTACCCCTTATGTATTGTAGCCTTGGTCCTCCTTTTTTATCCAGAACTTTAGAGTACTACTGTAGGTTACATACCTCTTAGCTCTTACCTTTGTTCTCTTTTGTCCCTTTCCTTTTTAATACCCTCTTGCGATTCAGTACCTTGTGTATGTTTATAAATGGGGGATCAGATGAGGTTAGGGACCATTTGTGAGACTTCTATCATCTTTTTATGGCTACCTCTGCTTTTTCTATGGGGTACTACAGCTATCCTCCTTTCAGTCCCTTCTACTCCTTTCTTTGTAGTATGCTGGACTTTGTATACTATAATCATTTCTTACACTTATAATTCATCCCGTTGAGAGTCTGTTTGATAATACAGTCTAGTCCAAGTACTCTGTATTGAAACATGTTATTTGCATAATAATTTTGTAAGTTTTTAGTTTTTATATCTTCACAAGCACATTGTATTTTTGGTCCATGAATAATAAAGAACTTCTTATCTTCGTCTATGTTTTTGTTAAGTTATAGGTGTGTGACGGAACGCTGGCACTCCGACTGAGTACCTCCGCCAATCGATGCGCCTAGTGCTCGCTGAGGACTCCAAGCACTCCAACCGACACCATCAGCACTGCAGACCCCACTTCCAGCGATACAGCTGCGCCGGGGTCTCGCCGTCTCCACCCACCCTGGATCCACGACCAGGATCCAGCTCCCAGTGGGTGAACCTCTCCTAAATCCAGAGAGCGTAGCAGGAACAAATCAAGCTATTGCAAGAGTTTACTCTGGGGAGTAAGTAATTATAGCAATCCCCAGAGTGTAGTTTTCCAATCCCCCAAACATGAGCCAAGGCTTAATGCTGGAACAAGACTTTACTGGAAGTAACAACAACGGTATTCAAGCTACAGTTTCTTTTATGCCCTGCTCCCATGCAGGGGAGGGACACACACGTTATCTACAGTAGCCAATAAAACAGAGGTTACAGCCCACACAAAATCCTCCCCTCTGCCTGTGATTCAATTATCTTATACAATAGAAGATCAATTATCACAGGTAGGAAAAATACAGTTTTTACAGCATATTCATAACTTCTAAAATATACACCACATTCACATAAAAATGATATATTCACAATCAATCCATTCAGGGAAACAACATATCAAAAAATGGCATGAATTAGACCAGGGGTTCAGAAGTTAGTAAAGTATCTTTTGGGGCCTGGCTGGCAGCATGGCTATCTGGCCCAAACCGGTTTTACAGAGCCCTCTATCCTGGAGACAATGGGGAAAATAATCCAATTATCCAGGGATAGAGTCAGACTCCATTGAGCACATGTTCCCAGTAAAACACAAAAGGATACAAAAATACATAACTCCTATCATACTGAATTAAATGGGCCAAAGCTCCCAGGGTCCATAGTCACAGGGCAAGAGGCGGGCAAGCAGTCCTCTCCAGGCACAAGTGGCGAAGGGCACTTCGTCACAGTAATAAATCCATGAATAAAGTAGCAGGGAGGGAAAGTATCGAATGAATGGAGGGGGATTCTTCACAAGGTGTGCTTCTGTTTATCTGGTATACATTTTATTTTCATTTTAATTTTATTTTATATTTTTGCCGTGTATTGGAATATTACAGACAGGCACGAGGTACCCCAACAGCATTCCTCAGGCTTTTTTATCACGTTTTACATTTGGGGTATCTGAAAACACATGCACAATTTTATATTATAGGTAAAAGTACAACAATAGATTTAAATCAAGATTCAGGGTAGGTAAACTTAACAAGCTCAGGTACGTTAGACTAGACAGTTATAAAAATCTTAGCTATGTAGTAGTGGGCTATCCAGGTAAGATAATTATGTACACAGGTTACTGCACTCAGTTTTAGTGCTATTTGTATTGGGTTTGCAGAAACTGGGTGAGTTAGTCATGGTTAGTGTCAGCTGGAACCTGAGTGTGTCAGGGTGGATCGACCCATGTCTCGACTACATGCCTATGCAGAGAGTAGGTAGCTACATAGCCTTAAGCATACAGTCCATCGGGTGACCCATGAGTGTTGGGAAAGTCCACTGGAGCTTTGCCTTTTATGTCGCCCATTCCATCTGGACTTGTAGCCTGGGACCTGCTCCTTCAGCCCACTGACGCTTAGTGTCTGCTTCCGGTTGAGTGGTATGGCGAGTTCCTTCATGGGCCCGTTACTCGTGCTCTCAGCTTTGGCTCCTCACGGCCACTACCGGGTGTCCTGGTGTGACTGGTCTCTTTAGGTTTGGGCCTTGGTGCAAGGTTTCATCTTTGGGGGCTTCCCGCCCGGGAAGGCAGTCCTGGAACCATGCTTGATCTGTGAGTGGGTAAGCTCGTCTGCATGTTCGGGTTCCATGACCCGTGGTTTATGTCGCTTGTAGTCCTGTGGGCAGAGCTGCTTGCAGGTAGGTTGAGATGCACTTCTTAGCTTTAGTTGCGTCGCCGCCATTTTGGCGCCCAGGCGTGGGATGCACAATTCTAGGCGGGCTCGGAGGGTCAGACTTGGGCGGTGACTCCCTCCAGTAGGGACCGGGATAACCCCCCCCCGGTCCATGGTGGGGGAAACGAGGACCTGTGAGACACGGCAGCCAGGTTCTGAAGCAGGATGGCGGCCGTCCGCCCCGCTCTACACCCGCATAGGCCGCAGACCCTGAAGCCTCGCATTGTCCCCTGGGGCTGCAAAACTCCCGATCTCGGGGACCGCGGT